GTGTCCCCCCGGTGTCCCCTCAGTGTCCCCCCGGTGTCCCCCCAATGTTCCTCAGTGTCCCCCGGTGTCCCCCAAACCAGCCCCGGCTCCTTTTCCCGGGCCAGGGGTGTCTCTGATGTTCCCCAGTGGAATCTGATGGTTCCTGAGGGGTTCAGTCCCCAAAATAAATTCTTTTTCCCAAAGGAAATTTGGCTTTTTATTTTTTTTTTAACCCAGCCGAAACATTTCATTTGGCGAAGGAAATCACGCTCCGATTTCCATTTTTTTTTCATAATTTATTTTTAACCCCCACTTCCCTTTCTCGGCTTGCGGTTTCAGCCGGGAGGCGAAAATTTTTTTTTGTTTTTTTTTTTTTTTTTTTTTTTTTCTCATTTTTTTTTTTTTTTTTTTTTTTTTTTTTTTTTTTTTTTACCAATTTTTCCGCATCCCGGAGGCACTTTGGGTAATTTGGGCGCTGCCCAGCTCCCTCACCCGCAGCGCCAGCCCTCCCCGAGGCCGGGAGGGGAAGGGCAGCCCCTCCCCAAACCCTCCCCCAACTCTCCCGGCAGAAGCAAATGGACGAGGCGGAGTTCAAGCGGCTGATGAACGACCTGGACCACGACAAGGACAGCGAGGTGGACTTCAAGGAGTACGTTTGCTTCCTGGCCTGCGTCACCATGGCCTTCAACGACTTCTTCAAGGACGACCCGGGCAAGCAGCAGCGCAGGAAGTGACCCCGAGTGACCCCCGAGTGACCCCGAGTGACCCCCGAGTGACCCCTGAGTGACCCCGAGTGACCCTCAATGACCCCTCGAGTGACCCCTCGGGGACCCCTCCCTGTGTCCATCGCAGCCCAGAGTGGCTTTCAATAAAAGCTTTTCCCCAATCCTGGCTGATTTTGGGGGGTTCTGTTCAGGATTTCCCCAATTTCTGGGGCTCTGTTCAGGATTTCCCCAATCCTGGCTGAGTTTTGGGGGTTCTGTTTAGGATTTCCCCACTCCTGGCTGAGTTTTGGGGGGTTCTGTTCAGGATTTCCCCAATTTCTGGGGCTCTGTTCAGGTTCTCCCCAATCCTGGCTGAGTTTTGGGGCTCTGTTCAGGATTTCCCCACTCCTGGCTGAGTTTTGGGGCTCTGTTCAGGATTTCCCCAATCCTGGCTGTTTTTGGGGGCTCTGTTCAGGTTCTCCCCAGTCCTGGCTGTTTTTGGGGGCTCTGTTCAGGTTCTCCCCAGTCCTGGCTGAGTTTTGGGGTTCTGTTCAGGATTTCCCCAGTCCTGGCTGATTTTGGGGGGTTCTGTTCAGGTTCTCCCCAGTCCTGGCTGTTTTTGGGGGCTCTGTTCAGGATTTCCCCACTCCTGGCTGAGTTTTGGGGCTCTGTTCAGGATTTCCCCAATCCTGGCTGATTTTGGGGGCTCTGTTCAGGTTCTCCCCAGTCCTGGCTGAGTTTTGGGGCTCTGTTCAGGTTCTCCCCAGTCCTGGCTGAGTTTTGGGGTTCTGTTCAGGATTTCCCCAGTCCTGGCCACCTCCAGGGCTCTGTGGCCGCCAGCAGCAGGCCCAGGCTGACTCACGCCTTCCTCCAGCTCCCTGGGATTTTCCACGGCTCGGCTCAGCTTTTTTTGGGAGGAATTTGAACAAAACCGGCTCTTGGATGTCTCCCCTGGAAATTCTGGCTGGCTCGGGGAGGGCTCAGGGGTGGGCACGAGGTGCCACCGGGGTTGGGGGCACACTGGGCAAGGCACAACAGCCCGAGCGTGTCCCCGGGGGCACAATCCCCTGATCGGGGCTGGAATTTGGGAGTCGCGGGGCTCCCCCGCCCCAGCAGCTCCGGGCAGGTCGGGGCTGGTTTGGGAACGGTCCCTCGGTTGCTCTCCGCCCTCCCAGACAAACAATCCCGCCTGTAAAACCTCCACGGAGAATGACAGAGCCTGTCCCCAAGCCCCCAGGTCATCCCAAACCCCCCAGCTCCCCCCAAAGCCCCCCA